CTTGCACTGGGTTTGTCTGGAGCAGAAGCTGGTGCTGCCCCTGCTCTGAGCACAGCACCCCTCACCTGGGCTCTTTTGAAACACACAGTCTTGGGGAGCACAGGCACGTTCTGTGTCATGTCTTCATCCACAATATCCAGGGCCAGAGACTTCCTCACCTTCTTGATGGGGCTGCGGCGCAACTGGGGGGGGGTGGAAACACAAGGGTTGGATGGATCCACCCAAAGACCCCCCCATCCAGGGGCCTGGGGTGCAGACTGAGCCCCCAGCACCCCATGGCTGCCCTGTGCCAGCACCTCAGCAAGCCAAGCTGCAGCCTCCCCCACCACAGGGTGCTGCAGCTCCAGTGTTCAGCTCCTGGCACCACTAGCCAGCCATTTGGAAGAGCAAGTCCCTTTCCATAGGGGAAGGAGGCCACCAAGGCATTCCCACAGCCCTCTGGGAGCCCAGTGGGCCACAGAAATGTGCCATGGGTCTCTCCTGTAGGTCAGGGATGAGGCATCTCCCAACATGCCCCAAGTTCAGCATAAACCAGGACAAAGCTGGATGTGTTTTAAGCTGGCCTGAACCTCAGGCACCTCTCCCTGATGAGAAGGCAGCAGCCACGGGCCAAAAGCTTTTTGACATCAACAGCAGGATGAATAAAAGCAGACAGAACACCCCTCAGCAGCAAGTTCTAGCCACAAAATCAACTCACCCCTTGTTTCCTCTTCTGTTTCTCAGGCTTCACCTCATCCTCTATGATAAGTTCAATGCCAGCTTCACTTCGGAGCACCTCTTTCAAGTCTTCTTCCAGGTGAGGTGTCTGGGGCTGGTGTAAAAAGGAGGAGAGAGAGCACAAGGCAGTCAAAATTTGTATGCTGGACAACCTCAGAAGTATTTCCCACAAAGGATAACGGGGTCTGTGTAGCCCACAGTGGGAGGACATACACAAAGAGAACTTATTTACTTCCCACCTGGAAAAGACAGGGCAAGAATTCTGCTAGCCTGACAGAAGCTCCAGGCATGAGAGACTTCTATCAGCTGAACCCCAGATGTGCCTTCAAGAGACCAGCATGCACAGAATGCCTGGGATACTGCAAACTGTCACCCCACAACACCCCCACTGAGAGACCCAGTTCCTCAGGGGTGCCTAGATAGATCATTTCCTCCCTCTTCCTCAAGGTCAGCAGCAGCCAAGCACCACAGCCTGACTCAAGGGCAGGTTTGGGGCATTTTCAGCTGGTTTACAGAGGAGATTGAAGTCCTGCAGCTACTTACCACGAGATGTTGACCAGGACAAGGTCATAGAATCATAGAATCATAGAATCATAGCATCATAGAATCATAGAATCATAGAATCATAGCATCATAGAATCATAGAATCATAGAATCATAGCATCATAGAATCATAGAATCATAGAATCATAGCATCATAGAATCATAGAATCATAGAATCATAGCATCATAGAATCATAGAATCATAGAATCATAGCATCATAGAATCATAGAATCATAGAATCATAGCATCATAGAATCATAGAATCATAGAATCATAGGGGTTGGAAGGGACCTCAAAAGATCATCCAGTCCAACCCCCCTGCCAGAGCAGGACCACCTAGGTCCCCTTCACCCCTCCCACATCAGCCTGGCCCTGCTGAGCTGTTGCAGCTCTGCTGCAATCCACCCCCTGTCCCATTTGCACTCTGTGTTTCCAGCCCCAGCAAGGGACAGACCTGCCCAGTACCTACCAGAGGTCGAATGGGTCCATATTTCTCCAGGGCGTTTTTGAACGGCGTGGGGGTGTGGGGGGTGTTGTCCCCCACATATTTCTGATCTGGTGTGATAAACCTGGCACACAGAGCAGCAAAGGTCAAGGATCAGAGGTGCTGTAAGCACACAGAGCACCCACATCCTTCCAAGCCTGCTCACTCCACGAGGAGAGGCTCATGTGGCAGCAGCAGAAGCCACCCGGCCGGGCTGCTCCTGAGGTGTGAGCAGAGCAAACAGGCACAGAGGAGCCTTCAGCAGGCAAACCCACTTAAGCTGTGGCAGCGGAAAAAACCTGCCACTGGAACACCCTCTGTGCAGAGCAACCCCCCTCACCTGCCCACCACAGCACCCTGGACCTCAGGTCAGGCAAAGCAGAGGGTGCAGAGCTAAAGGGATGGATCTGAACAGCTCTCCTGGAGGAAATCCAATCCCCTCCCTTGCTGGCAGAGCTCACAGCACACCAACGTTCCCCAAAGAGGTGCCCAGAAGGAAAGAGCCCACTCAGCAGTGGAGCACAAGGGTGGTCACTTGGCTGCAGCCCCCATCAGAGGGGACACTTGTTCCCCACAGCCCAGAGACATCCTCTCTTTGGGTTTGGAACTGATTTAAGGAAAGCCTCAGCCTGGCCAGCAGTGCTGTAAAAGTCCTGAGGGAGGGAGGTTTGGACTGGATCTGTCTCCTGGGTGGAAAAGGATGCTCAGGTGGGCACTGGACAGGAGGAGGAGGAGGAGGAGGAGAAAGGTCTTACGCCGAGTTCTTCTGGAGCAGGGGGGTCTTGTCCCTGTGCAGAGGGGTGGTGACAATCACCTTCTGACTGCACACGGGCGTGGAGGTCAGGGAGGGGTTCTCCAGTTCTAGTGTGTCCTGCTTGGTCCAAAAGTTCAAGAACTGCAGAGCAGAGAGGAGAAGAAGCACTCAGTCTCAGCCATCCCAGAATAGTACCACAAGTCATTACTTTTTCCTATGGATGGGGGGAAACTTGAACTAGAGACAGTCCCCCCACAGTGAGTGGCACAAGAGGGATCTGTCCCAGTACAAACCAGGGTGACTCTTACAGGCTCATGCATGGGCACACACAGGGAAGGTGCCAGAAGGTGCCTCACACCTCTGAAGATTCCTCACTACCCACTAGGGATGAGCTGACAGGACTACAAGCAGCTACAGGGTGGGAGCAGTCCCTCCTTGACCTGGTCAAGCACATGGTGACAGAGGGGTAAGACATCCCACCAAAGGTCTACTCCAACCTCAGGTTGGCAAATGTGAAGGAAGTTCACATGATGTAACTTCCTGCAAGCCAACAGACTCTGCAACAAGCCATGTTCAGCCTCAACTGTGAGGAAACAACAAACTGCCTCATCCCTGCCAGGATTTTGCTTCCCAACAGCTAAGGAGTGACAGTTTTCCTCCTGTAAGGAGTGAGGCTTGTACCCAGGAAGCTGTCAGGAGGGAGGAGCTCTGTGTTCCCTGATGGCTGAAGCTCAGCCTCAGGCAGGATGTGGCTCTTGCCTTCTCAGATTCACTCCAGGCAGGAGTCACAACAAAGGCTGAAAGATCCTGAGTCCCTTTCACAACAAAGACAAGCCCAGGAGCCTCTTCCTAAGCAGAGCAACTCAGAGACCTGCCCAAGGCACGTGCTGTGAGTCTCACCCCAAACCAGCAGGGAAAGCCACTTCTCACTGTGCCCACTCTGCTGCCCACACCTGGGGTGGCAAAGCCCTGGGGACAGCACTGTGGAGAACAGTTTTCTGCTCTTCTTCTCCAGCAGGCAGCCTTGCAGAGCTGCACGGTGCTGCTGCCACACCCCCTGTGCTGGCACTGCCTCACTCACAAGAGGAGAACCCCAAAGCTGGTGGAGCTGATGGGAAGGGGCTGCACCAAGGCACGATCACAGAGCCCAGACACCTCAGAGGAGCTGCTGATACCTGAGATGGAGAGAAGGGCAGAGTCTTGACAGGGGTGCTCTTGGGTGTCATGCTGTTGCAGGAGTCGAGGAAGGAGAGGCTGGTGCCAGTGACATTCTCTGTGACAGGGGAGAGGGAGACCTTCCTCTTCTTCTGCCTCTTCAGCACCGAGGGCGGCGTGCCAAAGCTCCCCTCGGCGTGGGGGGAGATGGGGATGAGCTCCCCCTTGCTGCTCCTGCTCAGGTCAGAGATGGTGTGGCCATCCAGGCGGTACTCAGTGACGTTGGGCAGGGAGGAGCTGGGTTTGCTGGGGCTCTGCCTCCCCGGGCTGCTGCTGCTGCTGCTGCTGCTGGCCGAGGGGTCCCTCGGGCCGGCTGACCTCGCACCCGTCCGGGTCCTGTGCACAGGGCAACCCTCAGAGGCAGCCCCACAAGGGAAGCTGAGCAGCCAAGGGGTGCAGAAGCAGATGGGAATCAGGTGAAGAAGTGGGAGAGAGGGGGTGAGGCTGCACTGGCTTTTTCCTCCCCCCCAGCCTGGCCAGGGGAGAGCTGAGAACTTCCTCCCCTCGGCTGGCCGAGAAGCAGAGCAGGGAAAGGAGCCTGCTGGAAGCTGCTGCTGGGGCACAGGGCAGATTTCTCTCCTTCTGCAAGGCTGGTTTCCCAGCTCAGCACACAGCACAGCTGCACAGACACCTGCACCCCCACACAGAGGGGTAAAACCAGCAGCTGGAGACAGGTGTGGGCTCAGGGGCTGAAGGAAGCGACTGTCACCCAACCCAAACTGCAGCCTTGGGCACGTGGATACAGGGCTGTGCTCAGAGCAGGCTAAAAATAACCAGACAAACAATCAGCCATGGGCTGCTTCCCAGCTCCACCCCACCAGAACCCAAAGCACCACAGAGCAGGCCCCTAAGGACCCACAGATGGGCCGTTAAGCCTCGGCACAGCCTCTGTCCTCCTACACACCCACAAAGCAGAGCCTTCAAGAACCATCAGCTGATAAGCTACTCCAGTAGGGTGGGGGCTGCAGTGACATCTCCCTCTAGTAGCAGCAAAGTGCTCTGCTCATCCTAGCCAACTCCCTGCCCTGGCATGCCTCCACTGCTGGCCCAAAATTTCCAAGCTACCTCCACTTGAAAGCAAATGGTGGCATCACCCCAGAGTGAAGGGGTCTGTCCTGCATCCTACAAGTGGGCCTGGTCTATCCCAACACATCCTGTCCCATCCCCTAACAGAAGGGAAAAGGAAAGCTCCTGAGCATGGGGCTGAACCCTGATGAAACCTGGGGACACTCCTGCTGACAAAGGAGGGCTTGAGATGAGGTTTGCCAGCCTCTGCAGAGCCCATGCACAAGGGCACCCCCCTAAGGGGACCTGCAAGCCCAGAGCAATGCTGGCAGAGCTGGAGAGGCCTAACCAAGCCCTGGAGAAGGGATGGTGGGCAGCCACGAGCCTGTGACAGAGCCAGCCCTCCCCAGGCTGCCTGTGGTGATGAGCAAGGGGCCCCAGCAAGCTCACTCAAGGGACAAGGGCAGGCTCAGCCTCCTGACAGCAGCTGGAGGAGCAGGGGTCTGCTACTCACGGATTCAATCATGTCCAGAGCCTCACTGAAGGCTGGCACAGCTGATGGGTACAGACAGCTGGCAGCTTCCACCACCCATTTGTAGGGCAACGTGCCAAAGGAGGCATCCTCAGGCACCACGTCCTCTGGGGTGCCCTCAGGGTTCTGCTCTGGCAGGTGGGCAGCTGGCAGCTCTGAGGGCAGCTCCTGCACACCCGTCACCTCCTCGTCGCTGGCATCCTCCTCCTTGATCTCAGAGGTATCCACCAGACAGCTGGGCAGCACGTTCTACACACAAAAAACAAAGTCCAGCTGTTAGTAGAACCCCAGGGGACAAGGTCAAGACCTGGGGACTAAGAGGGAGTTCCTGGGTGTGTTCAGCTGCCCCTGCTCTCCTCCCTGCCCTTTGGTTTGTCTCCCAGCCCCGTTCTCCCTCACACCATCTGAGCAGGAGTCTGTGCAACACAACCAGCACAGGACTGCTTAACTGAAGATGGCACTTAATGGGATCCCAGGAGAGAGCTGAACAAAGGCTGAGCAGGTAGCACCAACTCTGCATCTCCTGCTCTCCCAGAGCCTGCCTTTGAAAACTACACATTTTCTTCATGGAAAAAAACTAATGAGGTGTGCTACCTCTGTTGCCTTGTTAGAGGTGAGGAGAATAGGACCTCTTCACCCCATGTTGTCTGGAGGGGCCTCCTTCTCCCACCAGCAACAGCACAACAGAGCCACAAAAAAGCTCTTTGGTCTCCCAGGCAGCCCTGATGCTGGGACTGGGGAGTGAACAGCCCCAGCACACTGCTGTCCTCTGCCTGGGTAATGCACCTGGGCTCACACCACCCCTCCAGCTCCTGGAGGCACAGATCTGCAAAGAGTCCTCTCTTGAGAGTAACAAGAGAACTAGAGGGAATGGGGCAAAGCTGGCAGTGGGCAGATTCAGGCTGGATGTGAGGAAGAAGTTCTTCCCCAGGAGAGTGGTGAGACCCTGGGATGGGTTGCCCAGGGAGGTGGTCGAGGCCCCATCCCTGGGGGTCTTTAAGGCCAGGCTGGAGGAGGCTCTGGGCAGCCTGATCTAGTGGGAGGTGTCCCTGCTCATGGCAGAGGGGTTGGAACTGGGGGATCCTTGTGGTCCTTTCCAGCCCTGACAGATTCTGATCTGTTTTAGCAGAGGACTTTAGAGCCCTAATGGCTCAAGGGTTGGACTTGATGATCTTGGAGGTCCCTTCCAACCTAAAGGATTCTATGAGAAGGCTGAAGGAAGGCACAGACCATCTATGCAGACACCAGGCTGCAGCACAGGCGGCCTGAGGGGCAGCAGCAGGGTGGACGACCAGCTCTGACGTGTGTTAGCAGAGCAGGGGACCAACCCAGCTGCCTGCTGTGAACGTGCTGGAGCAGTACCTGACTCTCAGACCTCGTTTGACTCTGGCTCTCCTTGTCATCCACCTCCACGAGCAAGTACAGTGACTTGGACTCCTTAGTTTCATTGAGGAACCCTCCCGTGTCCACCTTGCGCTTGATGGTGGAGTTCCAGTGATTCTTCACAGCGTTGTCAGTCCTGCAGAGGAAGCAGAAGAGAAACCACCACTTGCAAGAGCTTCAAGGCACAGCTCCCACCTCCTGCATGCCCTCCACCCAGCTGGCAGAGGCAGGGGTGAGCAGAGAGGTCCTACCTGCCAGGCAGCAGCTTGGCAATCTCCGCCCAGCGGTTGCCCAGGACCTTGTGGGCCTCGCAGATGATGCGATCCTCCTCCTCTGTCCAGGAGGACTTCTTCACCTCAGGGTTCAGGTGGTTGTGCCAGCGCTCCCGGCACTGCTTCCCCAAACGCCCCTTCAGGTGCTTGGCTATCAGGGTCCACTGCTTGGTGCCATATTTTTTCACCAGTTCAATTACCTTTGAAGAGAAAAGGATGGAGATAAGGGAATGGAATAGAGGGGGAGGTCAATAGGGTCGTCTTCAGGCTTGGCTCTTCACCTTTCTTGGGACCAGGTAAGGGTGGGCAGAGAAAGGCCCCTCAGGAGAAAAAGCTGGAGGGATCCAGCACCAAACAGATGTACCAATACTTGTGGAAACAATTCAGCCAGATTTTGGACAGGGGCTGTTGCTGTGCTGATGCTGTGCCACACAGCACCTACGAACGCAGACGACGAGGTGGAGACCAGGAGGTGCTCCAGGTTTAGGAACACAGGCCCCTTTCTGAGCAAGGGCCAAGCCTGACATGCTCCAAGGCTCCTCTGCTCTCCCCCCTCCTCTGGACCTGGCCCTGGGTCAACAGTCCCCATCACCTCTGCTCTGGTCTGCCCGCCAGGCAGAGTCTCCCTTGACCAGGGTGCTGCACCAAGGCCATGCCAGGGCTGCAGCTCCACACCCCACCAGCACCAGCTCAAGAGCATCAACAAGCTGCATTCACTCAAGAGCCATCTGCTTGGCCACTTCCTTTTCACCCAGGGCTTTGTGACTTCTGCCTGACCTTCACTGCAAATGCTCCTGGTCACATCCAAGGCACACAGAATGAAACAATCCACAGCCTGCCATGGGCAGCCCACCAAAATGCCAGAGAGGAGGCTGAAGGGTTCTCAGAGAGCATTTCTACCCAGCCAGCTGTACTCAGCTGGAAGGTGGGAGTGGACTGGTGACACCCACAGTGCTCCTGGCCCACAAGAAACATCCCTGCTGCAGGCTCCTGACTACCAAGCACAGACAGAGCCAAGACACCAAAGTGAGGCACAGGCCAAGGAGCTGAAGAGCTGGCAGGGCAAAGCAAAGCACAGTGTCAGGAGGAGAAAGCTGGAGCCCAGCCTGGGCAGGACCGGCAGACTGGGAGGTTCAGGACGTGCCAAGGGAAGGAGGAAGCAGGCAGCAACTGCTCTGCTGCAGGAAGGACAGCACAAGGAACTTCCTTAGGACATGCCTGATGCAACGTGCAGATGGGAGGCCAAAGGGACCCTGACAGCCTGTGATGGGACCAAAAGGGAAAGAAATGAAGGCACAGAAGTGTTAAAGACTAGGACATTTTTCAGCAGAACACCTTGGTAGAAGCTGGAATCCATTCCAACTTTTCTTAAGCACATCAGGGTGATGAGTCTGAGGTGGTACATCCCTGACAGCCTGTGATGGGACCAAAAGGGAAAGAAATGAAAGCACAGAAGTGTTAAAGACAGTTTGACAAACCAGGACATTTTTCAGCAGAACACCTTGGTGGAAGCTGGAAGCCATTCCAGCTTTCCTTAAGCACATCAGGGTGATGAGCCTGAGCTGGTCCCTCTCAGCTCACTCCAGAATCAGCAGAGGAACGGGCTCGAGGAAGCCACAAGTCTCAGACACCCACATCAGCCTGGCTGCTGTGGCACAGGCACTGCCAGGTTTCTTTTCTCATCAGTTCAATGTGGCCAGGTCAGACCAAGCTCACCCAGCGGGCAGATGAGTTAATTCCCTTCTCTGCTCTCTGCCTGGCAGCCTGCTGCAGCAGGACTGTGTGAAAAGAAGGGGTTTAGCTGGAGAGGCCCAGACCTGCTCCTGCACACCCCAGCCACGGCTGCGTTAGGCTGCTGAGGACAGAGAGCTGCCCTCTGGGGTACCCAGCATACAAAAACCCCGAGGGTTTGAAACCTTCATCCTCCCCGCAGACAGCCACTGCCCAACACTGAGATCCCCTCAGCCCTGACTTGCCTTTTGGTCCTCCTCCTTGGTCCAAGGGCCCTTCACCAGGTCTGGGTTCAAGACCCTCAGCCAGCGGTACTGGCACTGCTGGTCGCTGCGGTTCTAGCAGGAGGGAGAAGAAACACAGGTTAGACCACAGGCACCCAAAGCCCCTGCAGCACCACCAGCCCCCCAGAAAACCTGCAGAAGCACAAGGAGAACACATACTATGACTAGAGCATGAGCACAGAGACAGGAACCTCAATTTCTCAGTGCAGCTCCAACAGACTCGCCCCCGGAGCTCCTCCACAGCAGGAGGATGTCTCCTGACCTGAAGGAGCAGCTGGAGTTGCAGCCACACAACAGAGTCCCCAACCCTGTGCAAGGTGCTGCACGGCAGGAGAACCAGCACAACGAGGACGAGGCAAACATTACAGCTCCCAAATGGGCAAGGGGTCACTCACAGGAAAGTGGCTGGCCAGGAACTTCCAGTCATTCTGCCCGTAATGTCTCACTAACATCTTCAGCTGCTCGTCCTGCAAAGAACAAAGACATCCACTGTCACACAGGCTGAGGCAACACGTGCCAAAGGCACCCTCGACCAACAGCATCAAGAGAACAAGGTAGGTAGCTTGAACCCTCATGGAGGCTTTTTGGCACTCTGTGTTCAGGGGAGGAAGACCATGTGGTGCCAGGCTCTGCACGAGGGTGAGCTCGCATAGGGAGGATGAAGCAAGAGCTCAGCTCTGC